GAGGAATGTGGGTGTATGTTAACAGGGGAGTGCCTCGTCTGGGGAGTTTGAGCTGAGACCTGAAGGTTGAGGAGTGAGGCAGATGTGTGTGTGTGTGTGTGTGTGTGTGTGTGTGTGTGTGCGGGTGTGTGTGTTAGGGGCAGATGTATGAATGAAGCTGGATGGACGGATAGCGGATGGGTGGATGAATGAAGGGACGCGTGGATGGATGAGTGAGTCTTCCAGGCAGTGGGAACAGGCTATGCAAAAGCTCAGAGACCAGAGGATGCAAGGTGACCCTGTAACTGATGAGAGACCATTGTGGAAGGTGTTTGGAGTTTAAGGAATGGGACTGGAGAGGTAGGTAGGTAGGAGCACCATGTACCGCTGAGCAAGTTGCGCACTGCTCCAGGGGGTGCCGGTCTTATAGATGGCGGTATGAACGGTGCCCCCCGGGCTGTGCAAGATGGAGGCCTGCAGGAGGGAGCCCATCATGCGAACACCGTATGTCTTAGGAGGGGTTTTGGACTTTGTTCCCAGAGCACTGGGGAGCTACGGAAGGCTTTTGACAGTTGGCGATGGGGCTCATTTCCATTTATAGTGCCCCAAAGCGGCGCTGTCCAGTAGAACTTTCTGTGAGGATGGAAACGTTCTATTTCGGCACTTTCTAATACGGTAGCCACGTGTGGCTTTTGAGCACTTGAAATGTGGCCAGAGTGACCAAGGACGTGACTTTTGAATCCTTATGAGTGTAAGTTTAAAAGGCTGTAATAGCCAGATGCGGCTGCTGGCTCCATAGTGGACAGGCTGCTCCAGAGACTGAGACCATATCCCCCCCCAGACTCCCGCCCTGCTGGAGACGTCGCCGCTTGCCAGAAGGCTGGGCGGAGGCCTCAGACTCCCTCCTCATGTGGACCTCAGTTCACCCTCGGGCCAGGGAGGCCACAGGCCTGTGGTTCTAGGAACTGGGCCTGGTGAGGGTAGAGCTGAGGGACCGCGTCCATCCCCTCTGCGCCTGAGACCTCGTCTCTTCCCCTGCTCCCACCCCCCGGGGGTGCTGAGCCGGTATCCGTCCTGCAGAAGCAGCGGCCGTGTCCCTGCCCTTCCCAGATCCCCCCTAGTTTCCCCACAGCAGCTCCTCATCTGTATGGTGGAGAGCTGTTCACACTTGCCTCCTGTGCCCAGGACGTTCGCATCAGGACCTGGGCGCGGTGGGTCTTACCTGGGCCCCCCCCCGCACACCTGCTCACTCCTCTGCCCTCCGTTGCAGTGCGCTATTTCCTGAAGAACAAGGTCAGCCCTGATCTGTGCAATGAGGATGGTCTCACAGCCCTGCACCAGGTAAGGACCTGGGGTCCCTGGATCCGTGCGCCCCAGCGGAACGGTCACGCCATCTCCCGGCCTTTCCCTGCCCGGAACCCCCAGGGCGGAGGGGAGGAAGGGCAGCCTCAGCTGTCTCGTCTGAAAGGCTCTTGTCTGCTTGGGAGATGCGCGTGTCTGTCACCGACACGCCCACGGAGCCCCTGGGCACACGTGCGTGCGGCACACGCACAGCCTCCCGGCACAGGGAGCCTTTGTCACCGCGTCCTCTCTGCCCAGCGAAGGGCTCGACAGACAAAGCAAGTTTGTTCTGAGCTCGAGGTTTACGAAGCATGTTTGTTCGCACCCACCGAGGCCTCCGTCCACCCTGGTGGGAAGGGTGATTGACAGGGAGGCCACGACCCGCCTGGGGTCGCACAGCCGTGGTCCGTGGCCGTGAACCAGGTGCCCTCGTGGCCCACATCCTTTCCGGGGCGGCGCGATGGGCCAGCCCCCCCTTGGCCCGAGAGGGGCTGTTCTCGCTGTCATCACTCAGCTGGGTGCTGCCAGAGCCTCCTAGCTGGGCCCCGGCATTCAGTTGCCCTGCCGTGTTGCGTTCTTCCCGCGGTGGCCTCAGGGACGCTCGGGCCAAAAGTCTGATGTTACTCAAAGCACTCTTGGTGTCCTCCCACATGGTGCCTCGAGGCCTGGCCCCTGACCAGTGCTCCATGCTCCCTGCCTCTCCGGGCTCCAGCCGCATGGCTTTTCTGTTCCTTCCACACACTGGCTCCTCCCACCACGTTTCCCATGGCGTGTGGGGGTGTGCCCTAGTTAGCCCCCGTGTGCAGCAAGAGCCTGAGAGCTGTGCTATCGTATAGTGTCCTTTTCTTCTGAGCACCTGCTCCGGTAGCCATTTTAGCCATTCGATGCTGGCCTCCCTCTATCCAGACAGAGCCCATGTCTCCTGCCCATTGGTACGTCCTACCATCTTTCCCCGTGCTGGTATACAGTCAGTGCTCGATATGTGCGTGCTGACTTGAACACACGGAAGTCTCCCGGTGCCCTGGCCCAAGTTTCTGAGCAGGTGGACTTGCACGCAGTCTGGCAGGTGGGAGCCCAGGCTGCCTGAACCCCAAGCTCTCTCCCCGAGAGCGTCTCCATGAGCTCACGAGGGCAGGAAGGGATGGACGGAGACTGGCCGCTGCCTTACCCGTGAGCCCCAGGGGCAAGCCCCACCCCCAGCCATCAGCCCAGTGGCTTCCTATCTGTCCTTTTGGCTTCTCTTCCGCTCCGCAGGGCTTCATTCACCCACTAATTCTAGCTGTGTGATCTTGGGCAAGTTACATAAGCTCTCTGTGCCTCACTTTCCTCATCCGTAAAATAGTAAGTACCCACCTCACTGGGCCGTTGCGAGGATTAAACGAATACGCATGACAGCCCTTCACGCGTCTTCTGACGCTGCATAAATATTAGACGGCATTATCGTTACTGAAATTTGTCACCTCGTTGGCTTCTGTGCAGAGCCACTTATGTGAAGTGTAGTTGATCCTCTCAACAGCCCTTTGAAATATTATGGTTCCCATTTTATAGCCCAGGAAACCGAGGCTCAGGGCCGGCACTGTCTAGTAGAATTTTCTAGGGTGATGGGATGTCCTGTGCATCTGCACTGTGCAGGACGCTAGCCTCGCGGGGCTGTGCGGCACTCAGAATATTGCTCTGAGGATTGAATGAGGTCGTCTGTGGCCAAAAGTTAGCGAGGTGGCCCTAGCGGCACCTCAGAAAGCACCAGCCAGGGTTATTTGATAACGTGACAGGCTGTTATTGCCACTGCCCGGCTGTCATTGCTGTGTCACTGCGGCTGCATCCGACACAGGCTGGAAGCGCCTTCGCACGCCTGGTAAAGGCGTGTGGCTCTCCTCCCCTTGGCAACAGGGAACCTTCGGGGCTTGTAAACTGGGACTCATGGATTGACGAGGAGGAGCTCTGTGGGTTGAGGGTGTGGGAAGGGGGGCGACGGGGAGGCAGGGAGAGATGATGAAGCCGCATCAGGGCAGTGGGGCTGGGGGCAGTGATTTAGAAGGCGGCATCCACACCCCATGAGAGATTGGATGTGGGCAGTGAGGGGGCGGGAGGAGTCATCCAACCGCAGGTGCCATTTCCCACCTTGGGGAATGTAAGGGAGGAGGCCTGCCCACCCCACCACCTACCGCCCCAGCGTGCACCCCAAACCCAGCCCTTCGTCTGGCCGAGCCTCGGAGGTGCAGGCCGGTCCAGTCCCTGGGCATCCCTCTCGTAAGGCTGCAATTCTGGGTGCGCAGTCCCCTCCCCTTTCAACCTGAGCTCCTCCGCTACCCCGTCCTCACGTTTTCTGTAGCCCTAAGGGCGGGTTCTCTGGCCCGGCTGTCCCCTGACACCAGGGGCTGACCTGCTCCTGCTGTGGACAGGAACTCCCCAGACCCAGCTCCCAGTGACAGGGGCCCCTTGTAGGTCCCCACTGCCTCCCTCCAGTGCCTTTGGCCCCCTCTGCTGGCCGTGCTGTGCCACTGCATGGTTCTCTCCACCACCTGAGGCACACCCCTCTGGGGTCACACCTCTGCCCCACTTGTCTGGAGAGATGCCCTCAGACCCAGTCAACTCTAGACAGGCTGGAAAGAGATCTCTGGCATTATCTGCACAAACGGTTGCTCTTTTCCCGCACGTCCTTCTGGCACTGAACCCTGGCTCTGCCGGGGATGGGGTGGGGGGCCATGGTATCACCCTATCCCCAGCCCCATCGCCACGTAGGGCCATGGGCTCCCAAAAGTGCCCCTGATCCTTCTGCTGGCATCCAGTCACTTCTCCCCATGTCCACAGATAGTCCTGTCGGCCCAGCCACCATCGTCTCTTAACTGGATGATTTTGCCATAGCTTCTCCCTGTCCCTCTCCTCCTCAAAAAGTGCTCACATGCAGTCTGTTCTCCACATGCACCCAGAGGAAGGGTTTCTTTTTTTTTTTTTAAAACAAGTCTGATTATGTCGCTCCTCTGAGTATAACTCTGCCACATCTCCCATTGCACGGGGACCAAGCCCTTCCCTGGATGGGGCAGCACTGAGCACAGATGCCTGCTTTGTCCCCTGCTGGCTTCTCCATCCCGGTCTATAGAGTGACTCCCTGTCTTCTTCCTCCTCTATCCTCGCCTCTGTCCTCTCAGGGCCCTGGATTGAGGCCCCCCTGTCCCCTTGGAATCGTTCACTCTCTGTCCCTGGAGTTTGGGGGCTCCGGTGGCTGTCAGAGGTCTTTGTCTCCCTGGGGGGCTACGGGTTCCTGAGCCTTCCCTGTCCCCAGGGCTGACCTAAATGTGGACAGGCCAGAGCATAGACCCGGCTGTGTCCTTTCAGGGACTCTGTCAGGGTCCCCAGAGCCCTGATGTGGAGGAGGGTTCTTTGCGGGGGTGGGGGGGGAGGCTTGGTTACTTGGGGCTTAAAAAAGAACAAGATTTTGAAGCCTCATTCAAAATTTTGTTTCGTTTCCACCACTCACAAAATATTTTCTCGCTGCCCCTTGGATTTTTTATATTTCACTTATATTTTTATCTCGAATGTTATTAACTTTCTCGTGAGGAAACCAAGGCTCAGAGAGGCTATGTGGCTTGCCCAACGTCACACAGTGTGTGAGTAATGCAACTTGATTCAAATGCAGACAGTTTGGCTGCACTGTCCTTCTTGTGGCCTCTCGAGGGGAACCCCGCAAGGGCCGGGGCCCCGCTGAAGCTGACCCTGTGTCCCCCCTCACCCCCCGCAGTGCTGCATCGACAACTTTGAGGAAATTGTCAAGCTGCTCCTTTCCCATGGTGCCAACGTGAATGCCAAGGACAACGAGCTGTGGACGCCCCTGCATGCCGCGGCCACCTGCGGTCACATCAACCTGGTGAAGATCCTCGTTCAGTAGTACGTGACCCTCTCTTCCCCAGGGACAGCCTCCCCTCTGCCTTTGGTGGTTTTCTATTTGTTTGGTTTCTGCCTTCCACCCCTTCCCACCCGCCTCCCCGCTCCGTCTCTCCTTTTCCTCCTGCGGTGCCATTTTCTCTGTCTCTTGTGGTGCCTCGTGTGTCTCTCTTTCTCCCCATGCCCTCCCTTCACCTCTGTCTCTGTTTCTCTCTCTCTTCCTCTGGCCCCCAGTTCCCTTCCTCCCTCCACCTCTGTGTTCCTTTCCCACTCTTGTCTCTCTCTCTCTCTCTTTTTAGTATAATTTGTCAAATGGGTTTCCATACAACACCCAGTGCTCATCCCAACAAGTGCCCTCCTCCCTGCCCGTCACCCAGGGACGGTTTCCCTGCGGTTTCCCCCCAAAATATCAGCACACGACATAAAAACTCACCTTTCTTGCATTGCAGGAATAATCCCGATCAGTCTTGGTGTGAATCCTTTTAATAGGCTGCTGAGTGGGGGTTGCTAGTATTTTGTTGAGGATTTTTGCATCCGTGTTCACAAGGGATATGGGTCTGTAGTTTCCATTTCCTGGAGGGTCTTGGTCTGGCTTTGTATCAGGGTAGCATTCTCTTTTTGTAAATCTCTTTTTTTTCTGTCTCTGTGGGTCCATGAGTTTACATTCATCTCCTCTACTCTCTTTGGGTTTCGTTGCCATTTTTGGTTTCTTTTGCTATTAAAAAAAAAAAAAAAAAGCATACTTGCTTCCTTGGCCCTGCCTCTCAAATGTTATTTACATGTTTTTCTTCAGGACACAACCTGCTTTGAGGGGCACCACGTGGCTGTGTTTTTCCTAGGAATATGGCCATATCTCTATATGCTGTTCTGAGGGTCCTTTCCTGCCCTGGAAGGCTTTCCAGTCTGCTCAGGTTCTGTAGACACACAGAAAAGACAGCATTCAATTTCAAATTATCACACATCTGACTAAGCCACGGGGAACATCGAGTGGCCACAGCCTGATCAGTGATGGTGCCCAGAGGAAAAGGGAGTGCCAGCCGAGTACAGTGGGTCCCCAGCGCTGATCTGTACCAGAATCATGTGGGGCGTGGGTTCAGAATACATAATCCAAAGCCGCACCCCCAGAGACCGTGTTTCAGGAGGTCTGGAGCGGAGCCCAGGAAGCTGCAATGTATTTCGGTGATTCCCCGGGTAATTCTGCAGGGCATCTCAAGATTGCGTGTGGGAACCACTGGGCCAAAAACCAGATTCTGCCAGAGAGCCCCAGGGCTCTGTCCTGCCCCTGTCCTGTCAGCCTTTCGGGCCAGGACTTGGGAGAAGGTCAGGGGGAGCCGGTGGACAAGGACTGAAATAGAGCCGGGGTTTGAACCTTGACCCTCCCGCATGCTTGCTGGGTGACCTTGGACAAGTGACTGTTTCCCCTTGAGTGAGATGGGTCCGCAATAACAACTCAAAAGGACTAGCACGAAGATTCACTCAGACGATGTGTGTATAGGGCTTAGATCAAGCCTGGCTCTAAGCAGATGTGTGATAATTTGTGCCGTTAGTGTTATTTGTATTATCATCACCAAGGAAGACTTTGACATCTGTCCTCAAGCGCCTGTCTGCTGGCCCAACAGAGCAGCAAGCTGGGGGTGGTCTGCTTGGGACGGCTTTCCTGGGAGCTCCCGTCAGAGGCCCCCGGGGATCCTGAAGCTGCCGTCCTGGCTGGGGTGCCCCAGCGAGGCGGAGGGGTAGTGGGTGCTGGGGTGCCCAGTGGGGTTGCGGGGGAGAGGCTGGGGGCGGCGGGGGCGAGGCAGCCAGACCAACCCTAGCCACCCCTCCCGGGCCCTCACGCTCTCTCTTTTTCTGCAGTGGGGCCGACTTGCTCGCCGTCAACTCGGATGGAAACATGCCCTACGACCTCTGTGAGGATGAGCCCACCCTGGATGTCATCGAGACGTGCATGGCGTACCAGGGTAAGGGCGGAGTACCAGGGATGGACACAGGTGAACGCGTTAGCTGGCTGCAGGCCTGCCTCATGCTCCCCACTCAGGAAGTAGGATGGGTCCTCGTCGTGGTTGTTATCCGGGTGACTAACAGGACGAGGCCACAAAAGGCCCCTGGAAAACGTGCTGTGCAGGAGGGAGGCACTGTTCTCATCACGTCACCCACACGCGCGGGCGGCCTCAGCTGGCCTCGTCTCCTCTTCGTCAGCTGTGACAATTCAATTCAATAAACACTCACAATAAAGATATATTCCCCTTTGGAAACATAATCGAGAGTCAAGAACATTCGCGGGTGCCCGCTGTGTGCCAGGCACCACGCTGGCTGCCGGGGGCCGGGATAAACAAGATGTGGGCTGTTCTCAGCTCACAAATGAGCCGCAGAGAGGAAACAAATGTGGCAATCAGAGACCTGCCCGCCCCCACCACCCCGCACGCATATTTCTGAAGGCCTCCTTGCAAAGAAGTCTCAAATCCAGACCCTTGACTGCAGTCTGAGGTCCGGCCGGGACCCTGCTGTTGAGTCTCCTTCCGGGTTGGGGCAGTAGCCACCGATGTGGTCGCTGGCCTGGGGTCTCCCTATTCCTCTGCTGCAGGGGTCCTTCACTTTTGTACTAGTCTGGTGAATCCAGGGGCACCTCGTCAGGAATAGTGGTTTTAAATGCGGTTCTCAAATTCCCGGCATCATAGCGGAGATCAGTCATGTTAAAACATGGCTACCAAAACATTTTTAAATGTGTTACATAGAAACTTCGTTAATTCACGAAACAGTAAGAAAATACCTGCAGTTTTCTGTTGGTGACGGTCACGGGCACCTGCTAATTCTGTGGATTTTCCCCACGTCCCCGGTGGAAGGAAATAACTGTATTATTTCATGGTTGGTGATAATAAACGTGTAATTTTTTTCCCCTCCTTTCGAGTTTATAGACCTCCCCTCAGTTCTGCCCAAGAATGTTTGATTTGAGGGACATTTCTGTAGGACACGTCACTTTCGCCTTTTTAAACACCATGAAGTAACTGTCAGTAACGCTTAGACTTTTAGTTGGAGATTCAGGCTGTCGAATGTTTGTCCGGGTCCTTCCACTCCAGTTTATTCAACTTGCCATTCAGAAGTTACATGGTCGCTAATTCATCCATGCCCGTAACAGAAATTCATTAAGCATTGAGCCCTCGTGCTACAGACACAGCCATGGGAGAGATGAAGGGAACTAACAGAGAGACCCTGGTCAGACAG